GTAATAAAATCCTATACCTGATACCGATACGTACGTACGCACATATTACTGTATTACCGTATTACCAGTCACACGATGCTAAAAAACTGCGTAAGCTGCTCGAAAGACCCGTATGTGTTTTCATAGTAAGTTACTCTCAGATATGAGAGACAAAACAAATGTAAATACTTTATTGAGGTCGATAATTTAAGAAATATTTGATTATAATGTGCAATTACACATTAAATATTTCCTAAATTATCAATAATAAAGTTAGGGAGGTTAGGGAAGTATTTATTCCAACTATATCAGATACACAAGGCAGATCGTACGTACGTACGTACAGCAAATAAAGTAGAACTAACGGTTCCACATAAGTTTTTTTTTTTGAATTTAAATAATAAATCCGATAAATCCGATTACACTAATTAAGCCGTAATGCTAAACGGAAAAACATTTGGTTTAACATGTGACCGGGAATAACTCTATAATTCAAGCTAATAAGCCGTGGCGCTTTTTTTCGCCAAGATTTTTATAATAAAAAAAAGTTGTACTCTGGGAGTTTTTATTGTTAGCATCAAATAACAAATTTCATAAAAATATGAGTGAATTCGGACTCGGACAATGCATTACCGCTCTACTCATCATATCTTTGTTAATCGAAATTATTTTCATATTAGTTTATGGAAGTAATGCTTCAGCAACAACAACACTCTCTATAGTAAACAGAGTAATTGATGGAATATTAAATTTTGTTTTTGAGGTTGCGGCGATAGCATTTGCTGGTCTTGGCTTCCCTACCAATGTTTTTTTTTTTAATTGCTACTGGAATCTCTGTAACGTCAATTTTCTTATCACCTTTTTTAGAAAAATCATTTAATATAGAAACTGATAAAGAAGATTTTGGGTCAAGAGTTGTTTATATGATAAAACAAGATGGTGTAGCATTGTTGGTCTTAATTATTGATTTCGTAGCACTTTGTTTAGCTGGTTTTATTTTGCTTGGAATTTTCTGGGGTTTTATATTGATAGGGGAGAGATTTAGTAAATGTTGCGAATCTGATTTTCTTGAAAATTTTTTCAAAAGAAAAACAAAAGAACAACAAGTTGCTTAGTCATATATTAAACGCTAGACCTATGTTAAATGTTCTGTGGTCCTTTTATTTTATTATACATAAACTAAGGGGTTAGAAGTTTCGTATTGTTAAAAATGCAAAAATTATAAAAATCGTGCTATAAATCGGCTGATAATTACTGCGGGACCGACTAAATAATTAGTTTATGTAAATATGGGTTGAGTCAATAGAAATCAAGCAAATCGAAAATTTTTCAAAATTGAGATTTTTTAATAAAATAATAAAACATAATATGATGATTATTTTTTTGTTTTTTGATTGTTAATGAATTCTGTTAGCATAATAAAATTTTGAGTTATTGCGGCTTTAAGTTTTTTTTTTACATATAGGAGGACTTTCTCGTAATTGGTCAATTTTATACAATTGAATTTATACAATTTAGAGTACTTTTACCACCTAACATAGTGTTTTTTTTTTCAAGAATATAACTGCCGTTCATAATACTACGAAGCTTAAGTATCTTGGGTATCTCTGGGATTCGCTCTACCTGGATATACCTCACTCAAAGACGGTCCTTAAGCTAGAAAAATAGTAGTGTACAGTAAATTTATGCGTTAAAGCTTCTAATTAACTCACAAAAGCGTAACTAACTTGTTTGAAAAAAGAGCTTAAAAATAATATATAGTAACTTTATAATAATATCAAATTAAAATAGGTTACAATATTTACTTAGATATGAAGAGACATTTGGTATGTAGCTTTATATTTCGGGATCTGGAAATTAATAAGTCTAGAGTATTAACAATATATTCACATTCACATTCGCATCCTCATTCACATTCACATTCATTAGGGTAGCTGCGCAATGTTGTCACGCTAAAACCAGGAACGTGATACATAGATTCAAATTACAATTTTTGAATTTTACCTATGGTGACAATATATAATTCTTGTGGATAATAAACCGCCAATAATTCTAACGCTAAGTACTACTGACATTAACATTAACGATTGTTGTATCCACCTCGTAACGTCTAGTACAAAGTGCATAATTTTACAGCACGAATAGCTTTTGGTTTTATAGTTTGTTTTGCTGCAATGGCAGCTGTTGTGTTGGGATATCTTGTTTCAGTCACTTGTTCTTGAATCATTGAATTGTTTTTAGCTATGTGTAGTTGTCATTCATATACTGGATACAATTTATCTAAGATCCCAAATTCACATCTCAATTCTTTGCTTGTCAATATATATTAGGAATTCTAATTTTTGCAAAATCACCTGGATTTAAATTTAATAAATGTTTGGTTTTATGGCGTTTTCCCATAATATTACGAATTACTTGACGATTTTTTTTAACATGTATTGCAGCATCTCTTAATAGTTTGTGGTTATTAAAGCTTGCCCGGGATGAATTTTTGATTAAAGAATTTGCTTGAGATGATGGTATATCATTTTGAAATATATCGTCATATAGTATATCGGTATCGATCTTTAAAAATTATTTAATTAATAAGTAGTTGCGCGACGTTGTCACGCAAAACCAGGAACGGAAGGTGGATTTTCAGATAGAGTTGCAGGTGAAACTGCTTTCGTCACAAGTTCTTTGTTGCTCAACTTTTACGAGTTTCACATGTAACTTTAATTTAGATTATATGTGCAGTAGGTCGAATACTAACTACGTTATCTAGGCGGGCTTTATATGCGACTTAGATAGATTAGTATTAGTATTTTTTTCTAATAAATTATTCACTTTTGTTATTTAATTTCATGTAACTGGTAAATATAGCAAACATTTGTCAATGGGTGTATTTAAAATAAATTATTTATACCATATTAATTACTTTAATTACTTCATATTTTAGTCAGTAAATTACTTATTTGATTTGGTGAGTATAAAGATTCTTTTAATTGAAGTATTCAAAATAATATATTCACTTATTAACTTTTTATTTGTACTAATTGAATGTTAAACTATATGAAATTTAATTTACTTAATAAAATATACGCAAAATAATATAGTTCATGTAGGATTACTTTAGATAAAATGATTACAGAGTTATGTAATAGTTGTGATAGTTTTTAATTTATTTAATGAAAAGACTAATATAATTATCAGAACATGTGAAAAAATCTGCAAGCATCAAAAGAGTGAGGTAATGATAAGAAAATTTATTATTAAACATAAAATCAATTTGATTTGGATCTGACCATGAAACAAAACATCGTTTTAAGAATAGACATATAAAAAAGACATTCATTATTTAAGAATACATAAAAACTAATTATGTCTGATTTACGATTAAATGTAAGATATAAAAAACAGAGAATCAAGCATTCAATAACAGTAAGCAGGTTAGTAAAGCAATAAATGGTTTAATTCTTAAGTATACACTTTAAAAATAGATACCTTTGAATTATTAAACTTGGAACAGCTGAAATGGATGAATATAGTTAGACAAAATTTTATTAAATATGAAAAATATAATAAATTGCAAGTTTAAATTAATTCCAAAAATAGTTGAAAGTTGATTACGAAACATAGCAAGTTGATAAAATGCATTGTGCTTAACATATAATTGCATTAGGTGAGAGTTTAAGTTAAAGAATTATCGAATAAATCCAAGTTTATGTAATGATGGTGTACTTACTAATATGTATATGATGAAATGTTAAGTATAATTGCAATGATGAGTAATAGTAACTGGCAAATATTTTAGTCTGATAATATCTATGAGTTTGGTAAGATACATAACATTGGAGATAAGTATGAAGTGAGAATAGATATCACCACCCTATAAAGTTAAAATTTTATTAATATCTTATTAAGTAAAAGTTGTTTAGGTATGCCATATATAACGATAATGATTTCTATTGTTATGTCGATATAACAGGTATTGATATAGAAAAATGACATACGTATGCCAAATATAGCACAAATATATCATAACATTATTGTCATTATGAATATGTACTAGAATTTGTAGACTAGTTCAAACTTGATATACGAAAATTTTCTATTTAACAGAGTAATTGGTATAGCCACAAGCCCGATTTATCCAAATCAAGTAACTGGAAAGCTTACACCGATACAAATAAATTTTAAAGCAAAAAATTTATATGATATAACGATACAGTCAGAACAGCGAACAAAGACGGGTAAAAACAAGAATAATTTCATACAGTATATGTATTACGAGGTTAAAGCCGTGATAATAAATAGAGGTTAGAAAGAATAATTATCTGATCACAAACATCTAACTTGCATTTTTTTTTTTAATTATGTGTGTCAATAGACAAATTTAGAGATCTCAAGATAAAGTCACAAGATTAGATCAACCAATCGGATAAAAAAGAGACACGCCACTTCAGATGCCTGTAAACCATACTATACGTACGTACATACGCACTTTGTAGTATATCGGCAGAGCTGCAGATCTGCCGATATGAAATTACTTGTGCGCACGTTGTGAAAGGGTAGATCGTCGCGCACGCACTTATTTGCGCGGGTAATACAAACCCCTAGAAAGGAAATGGCCAATCGGAGTGCACAAAATTTGATTGTTCCGGATCAGCCCGACA